CAGTAGTTATAGAAATTCCACGCCTCCATCGACGCCATTTAGATAATTTTGGAGGCAGGCTACTTCGACCTTGCCAGTCAGGGCCAATTCAGGCTCATAGGGATACATGTACGTTTCAGAACAAAGACGGAGTCACCAGATAAAAGTTCTCGGCTCGCGGAGATCGGATCGAAATCCAGTCTACTGAGTGCTACGGCGAAGTGATAACCTCTATAGTACCACTGACGCTGGTCCAGTTCACTGTGAGACTGAATACTTTACTTTAGAGATCTAAACAACAAAAGAGTATCTCTCTTCTCTCTATCTTGGCAATAATTAAAACTCTGTCTGTCAATTTATTTATCTATCTATCTTGGCAATAGTCAAAACTGTGTCAATCTATCTATCTATCTATCTATCTATCTATCTATCTATCTATCTATCTATCTATCTATCTATCTATCTATCTATCTATCTCTTCCTGAACACAAATCTTTCCCCCAAAACCACGGTTGCATCGGACCTGGACATTAAAGTCGAGGCGCCCGCCTCATAAATAACCGCGCTGTGTTGAGAGGGCGGTCAAACCTGTTTTAATACATTATTTCATTTGGCAAACTTCGCGTTTAGATTCTTTTCAGGTTTAACCTGCTAGACGACTTCTTCCGGGTATGGGATGCAGAGGTTGCATAAAGTAGACCCGAGTTCGATTCCCGAGTGAGGTAGAACCTTTTATATAGTACCTCAGTTTTTCTGCTGTGATGAGTATCTCACTACGTCCGAATTGGCGTTGACAGGCAGGGTCGGACGCCCTCCTCCTAACTGATCTAAAATGTGTTGATTAGAGCATTAAAAACACCGAAATAAAACAAACAAACAAAGACAACTCCAAAAACCAACAACCATGAAATCAAACTAACTTAATCTTTTTCTACGACAAACCGAAAGGCTGGAACCTGCTGGAACCCAAATGGCCGCTGGATCGGAAAAGTAAGTAAGGAAGTAAAGTAAGAGAAAGGGGAGGGGGTATAGTATAACAGAAAGTGGTTTAAATTATCTAAATAATGTGTTGATAGGGGACGTAAAAACAGCTACATTACATAAAGACGACTTCTAGGCCCTCCCGTGTTGATGAGCCTCGTTCTGAACCACAGAGGCACGCCCTAAGTGGAAACATTCCCATCAGCCCCTGCGCCCATCCTCACTTCACAGTTCACAGTTCCCCCGGGACCATCTTGGCAACCACGGCATGCAAGCCCTCGATCGTGTTCGTCAGACCAGGTTTAATGAAGGTTAACAGAGAGGGATGAAGATAAAGACTGGGCCTTGAATATTTCGAAATGTATTTATAAGTAGGAATTGAATATAATATAGTCTGAACATGTCGTCTTCGATAGGATTTAATGATCTCCTTCTCCTCTCTCTCTTTCTGGGTGTGTGTATGCATGGGTGTGTATGTGTGTGTGTGTGT